ATCGGAAGATTCAATATATTCTTTGAGTACGAATTGGATACCCGGCCAAAAAAGATTCCAATAATTGTTTCCTGTTTTGTCAGATCATATAATATATAATACCGAAATTCACTCTTTTATTTTTTAAGTTCAATTAATAATAATGCGAGAAACCTTCCAAACACATTCTATCAAACAACCAAAATACATATAAAGTATGTTATTTTTTACAACACTTTGATTATTAATTAGTCTTATTTCCTGATTGAATTATTAGTGTAGCTCCTTTTTGATAAAGGACGTACGTTTAGAAAAGCATGCACGGCTATAGCTATGAAGGCTTAGAGAAAGAAAAAGTGATATGTAGTTGCGATTGTTGAAAGAAAGAAAACGATAGAGATGAATGAGTGGTGAGGCTGTAAATTTATTGTTTTATTGTATGAAGTATATATGAAGCAAAAGACATGCACATGTTGATCTTAAATGATGAGAAAGACAGCGTAGATGATAAAGATCCAAAAATTTGATAATGAACAACAATACATTGATTGATACATAAAGAGAAGAGAGAAAATAAAACAAGGTAGCTAATGAATTAATCTTGCTTCTTCAAGTCCTTGTAAAACCTCTTTATGAACTCCTCCGCCTTCTTATCCACCTGCTGGTCGCCGTCGCCGTCGCTCTCTCGCAGAGGGAACGGCGAGTCCGTCACGCGCAGCTGCCTCACCACGGCGGGGCTCCGTCCGAACCCCGGCAGAGGGGACGCCGCCGTGACGTCGTTGTTATTGTTGAGCATTTCCAGCACGGCCTTCATGGCGTTGACGGTGACGGCGTCGTCGTCGTGCGTGGGGGGGGCGTGGACGCAGGCGAAGAAGTGGCGGTGGCGCTTCCCCTGGAAGGAGTTGTGCGGCGTGTTGCTGCAGCTGAACTCGTACTCCCTCGGGGCGGAGAAGTGGTGGTGGGAGGCAGCAGCGTGGTGGAACATTAAGTTGGCAATGGCCTTTCCGGCGATCTTGGTGCGGCGTTTGAGCATGAGGTTGAGGGCCATGATGTTCCCCTTGGTTATGCCTTTTCTGAGCATGAACAAGAGTGCATGCAGCATGTTCCACACTTTCTTTGATAGTACTGGGGCGTTGCTTTCCATTTCTATAGGTTAAGAAATTAATGCTTTGAATTTGAAGAGAAGAGCAAGGGTTATTGGGTTTATATAGTGTGGAGAAGCAAAACGTGGAGGAAATGTATTGGTACGTGTCGGATTAGAGTGACCAATGGCTTCATCATGCATGCATTCTTGAACTGGATGCTAAAGTGCCACATTGGAGCCCCTCACGTTTCATATTTCCTGCTACTATACATATCTTTCATCAAATTCATGGACCACTTTATTTAACTCGGAAGTCTTTACATATTATTATGGAATTTGTTTCATCATTTTAAATCTAATACAATAACGTCTAATTCTTGAAAATAGATTTTTCTTTTTTTAAGAATGTTGGTTTTTGATTTAGTTCAATCTTACATAATTAATTTATAAAGAGGATGTTATGTTTCATTTGGTTAACGTGAAATCTTCCACATTAATTAAGATTCTTGTCATCATATTTTGTGATGCAATCTAACAATTCTTTTTCTCAAAACTTCTTTTTTAAGTGCTATTAATATCAATCATTGGCTCGTGTAATTGAAATGATTGAAAATGACCTTAACAGGAACCATTATGATGCGCAAACAAAAATTTCATCTCCTAAAGTCAGATTAATATATTTACTTAAATTGTGACACATAGAGGTTTGATTAGTCTTCCACATTTTCGTATATCTCCTGTCCCTCTGTCTTTATGAAGTTCCTTTTGGAAGAGAAAAAAAAGTCTCAAATAAAGGGAAAAAATCAAAAACTTTATGCGGGTTAAACACTGTTAACAAATTAATGCATGTAAAATGAGAAGAAAAAAAATCAATACTAAAAATTTTAATAACATCATTTATTAGGATATTGTAATGGTTGACCAAAGGTTCCCATAATGCCATTTATCTAGCCCAAGGTACTAGATAGGTTAAGCACATATTTGTTTCTATTAAGGAGGGCAAGGGTAGTTAGCCATTTTCAAAATTAATTTCTCCCACTGTACGTACATATTAACGCAAAATTTATAGCTGAGATTAATTTGGACACATATCTCAACTACATTCAACGATTCAAAATTAATTATTTTTATTTCAAAATAAATGGTTGATAATCAAAAGATAGAATAGCTAGATAAAGATGACTGACATAGACCAAATGAAAAAGAATATTAATAAAAAAATATATCAAATAAATTACGTATAACTTCTATTTATAGATTTCATTGAAGTAACTAACATCTTAATGAACGAACTCACAATACATTTTTATACAAATGAAGAAGGTTATATTACACGATTAATTCCATATATAACTATTTCATACAATTACTAGAGTAAACTCTAATAATAAGAGATTTATATGATATGTACAAAATTTGAAATTTAAACTCATGTCATAAAACATTTTCTTCTCAGTTGACCAAAGGAATTAGTTCACGATTATATCAAATTAAATAATAATTTGAAGTTTAAATCTTGAACACACGTTAACTCCCTCTACCACAAACTAGCATATCAAATTCTACGTGAAAGACATACTTTTAGCCAAAGATCATACATTGAAGATTGCTAGGTGGTAGCCTCGAATATCGAGATCAGAACTTAGCTGCCCTTCTACATAATTAATAAGCGAGCTACGTTCACTAAAACCACCATGCATTTTATTGCATAAACCAACCCAAATTTTGCTTCAAATCCTTGTTGCATAAAACCACCACAACTTTGCTTTTTAAAATTTAAATCACTAAAACACAGAAATCCTTGCTTCATAAAACCATCATTTTCCTTGAATTCAGCTACATCACCACCTACCAAATTGTTTTGAATTGAATGAAACTATAATTTTTAATCTACTAATATTTGTACCCACCTAATACCTCGTTTCCTTGCTGCTTCATCAAAGAAGCCTTTATGCACTCAATAGACTATTGTACCAATTCATAAATGGATATTTAAATTCTGTGCACTTGACTTAGCCAAGACCAAGACCAAGACCTTAAATTGATTAACTCAATTAACTTTGAATGTAATATACTGCATTGAAAATTTCACATGTTTTAGTTTTGCTAACCACACTGACTATAAAATTGAAAATTAGTTCTGCCTCTTGATCCCGTTAAACAGAGAAATGTAGGAAGTGGGACTTAGCTGTTTCATCATTGCACCCCAATAAATGTAATCCATCCATGTTCTTGCAAAAATGTTGCATTCAGAGAAGATGTAGTACATACTTTCTTTACGAACTTTCACAAGAACTACATTGGACCGATGCAAAGCTACCCTTCTAAGTAGCTGCTGCTTTGGTAGGTATAAATATATACGCCAATTCCAAAACTTGGTGTAAAATTGATCTTGTGAACTGACCTCAATGCTATTTCTGTTCCTAGCATAATCTGATTTAACCGTATACTCTGAAATGATACTAAATTTACAAACAACTTTCTTAATTTTTGTTACCATTATTATATTAAATGATAGGGGCGTAAAAAAAGTCAAATGAATGAGGTTAAATTTAAAATTGAACTACATCATTTTAAAAAATCATAACTAATTTTTTTTTATAAAAAAAAAAAACTAAATTGCATTGTTCACATAAAATAGATTTTAAAAAATCAAAATACATAGGTAATTAGGTTTGATGTGTACTGGTACACCATTTTTTAAATAATAAAATAAAATTAAATCAAAATATTTTATTTATGTCTCTTATATTTTAGTAATTTACAATATCGTATAAAATGTTTGAGTATTTTTTACGATTATTGTAATCTTTTTTACTTTTTGATTATTTTTAAATTATTAAATTAAATGTTAGTAATCAAATCATGTTTCACAATTAATTGTTCACATAACAATTATAATTTTTTATATGATTTTGAGTAGACCTCTATGGGTTGTGTGAACTTTTTTTTTTCTTTTAAAATATTTTTTAATAATTATTTTGCTATTATGATGTATGTGTCTATTTATTTAGTCATCAAGTTAAATTAGTAATAAATTTTTAATTTTTTTTATAAAAAGCACATTAATCATGACTTTGTTCACAATTTTTTTTTAAAAAAAAAACTATTTTTCCTTAAAAAAATAGTTTAAAATTGATTCAGATTTTAATCGGTTTGAAATTTGGTTTTATTCAGAAATTAATTTTAAATTGATTCTAAATTATTTATAAAAGTAATTTAATTTTGAATCAATGATGTGATTGAAATAATTCCTATTCAATTCGATTAAATAGTAGTGTAGTGTGATAGGTGACATTTTTTTTAAAAATTGAATCCTGCACACCTCTGTTAGATAAGACCTTGAACATAGAGTGTATGAGTTGAATAAGCCTTATATTGACAAGAACGGTACATAAAATTATCCTCTTTTCGAATATTAAACGATATTTCTTCTTTGATGATCGAATAGAAGAAATAAACATTATCCACTTTAATCATTTCAATTTTTTCAGGTTTATTATTTTCCTTTTTCATGACCGTAATTTAGATTGTATATATCCTTTTGAATCTTATAGGTTCCGGTCTTTTAGATATATACTATTATAGAGGTAAAATTTTAATTCTGATTAGAAAAAAGTAGTTAAAAATTACATTAAAAAACTGCAACTAAATATTTGTAATAACGGTATCGTAAATCAATGCATCAAATAAATATAATGTAAGGTAGTTAAAAATTACATTAAAAAACTGGAACTAAATATTTGTAATAACGGTAGAGTAAATCAATGCATCAAATAAATGTTATTCCAGAATGAGATTGAAAATACTAGAATACATGATTACATGGAATACTTCAAACAAGAAAAGCCACTGACCAAAAACAAACCATAACCCTCTCAATAGAATTAAAACACAGACAAAGAAGTCAAGTCAGACAAACCAACTTCCAAAAACTAGAATGTGGTGAGAGAGAGACCCCAAAAAACCTTGCACCTCAAGGTAACTTGGGTTTCTTTTCTTTCCATGAAAACATAGGGCCATGTTCATCCCCTAAAACTTGGAGCAGTCACTAGTCAGTAGGAAAAAACAAAATCATGGGAACAGGTAAACAATTAATGAAAGATAGAATAAAACCATGTCCCCTTCACATAGGAATTGATTAATAATTAAATACTGAATGTGATAATATTATAAGATGAAACTTAGAATTAATTAGCTAATGTGAGATGAGACCATTAATCTCTCTTGTAATTGCTGGAATGCAACTTGAACTCCTTGCAATCCCTCCTTTCTTTTGATCCTTTGTGTTGAAAGACTTGGTCCTTCTCCCTTCCATTTTGTTCTTTTTCAGCATCTCCTTCATGGCCTCAGCTTGGAACAGAACCGGGAAGGCCCTTCCATATTTGTTGAACCTAACACACGCACTCATGTGTGAACTCAATGCCTCTTCCTTCTTCCCTCCATTTTTCTCCAACTCTTCCTTCACTGCCTCAGCACACAAACCACACACCCACTTCCCCAAGAACTTGTCACGCACACGCTCCACGTACTCTGGCGTGCACTCTTCACTCATTCCACAGCACTCACACTTGGCTTCCATAACCTCAGTTATTGGTGCAAGTGACAAATCAATCCCTTCCTTCGTTAGCTCAAACGATATGTCTGAGATTGTTCTTTGAATGTGATCAATCCTTGGAGGTTTCGACATCTTCTTGTTAATGTTGTTGTTGTTGTTGTTCCTTGGCAAACACTCTCCATGGGGTGCCATAATCTAAGAAGATATTTGAACACTCTCGATTCTTATAAGTGGTCTTTAAGAAGAACTGATAATAATATGCATGTACCTCGATTGTTCAATAAGCTAGAAGGAATAACCCTATTTATAGTAGTTCTTCTTGTTTCCGAGAATCTGACATTGTAAACATGTGTGGATCTTAGAAACGCAAGTGTCAGTTTCAGTGTCCGTGAACTTGCTAGATTTTTTCGATAAAGATCTAATGAGAAGTAATTATTGCATGTAAATTTAATGTGATAGAAGTGTGCCTTTTGTTTGTTTGCACATATATTTGGCTGTTCCAAGTGAACTTCCACGCTAGGTAGTTGGGACATTGTCATGACTTTCTTTTTCCAGTTTTACGTATATTTTTACTTTTTCAATAGTCTCAAGAGGAAGACATATTAGAATACTGTTTCAAGCATCTATTTAATATAACCATACAATAAGAAAGTTGGTTGCCATTAAAAAAAGTTGTTGCTTTTAGCAAAACGATTGGATGTAATCCAATAGAAGCAGATTTGAGCAGCAATACAGCTTGTGGGGCATTCACATGGTGGAATGGTAAAACCACATATATTTTTCTAAACTTTATGCTTTTGAGTTAAACAATTACTTGAAGAAGGAAAGAGACAAGTTATGTCACACGAGCCTTATTCCACAAACATTAACTTTTTATTCACGAGGCGCTTAAAAAGGAGGAGAAAGGAAAGCCATAGAAATCGGTTTGGATGAAGATATCAACTATCAAGTAAATAAAGTTGCATTGAGTGAGTGTCTGATAGCTAGGGTCTCGCTGTTAAAGGTGTGCACTAAATAGTCTAAATTGGTCCGTGCGCCTGAAACATGTGTAAATATGACAGATACTATATGCAAGGGCAACAGCGCATAAATGAAGTCGTGGTTATAAAATTAAAGAAACCACTAATAAGGTCCTAATGAGGATATTGGTTAAGAAATAAAATGTAACATTTTTTTATGAATAAGAAATATTAAAAAAAATTACTAATACTATCACACTGTTATTTCTTAACTAGTTAAAGTGCTCATTAACCAGCTCCAAAACATAAAAATCTGACAGTGATTATGCAATAAATATGAGAATGATAGTTATTAGTTAAGCGTAAATGCATGAGATCAAGAAAGAAAACCAGTCATCCATTTATTTATTTATTTATTTATTTATTTTTTACCTTTTTCAATGTAAATGAACATATCACCTTAAACAGTCATGAGTTTTGTTTGGAGTCTAATTGTGATGTTTGATTCGGGTTGGAAAAAATAATGAGAGACATCATCATCTTCACCTATTGGTACCTTCAGCCTTATTGGATGTAGTGTTTGTTTTCCTGGTGCTTCCAACTTAACACCAATTCAACATCCACTTTTCTTCTAGGTTTTTGCCTTGAAAAATGATTTTTTTTATTGACACCTTTAGCCATATTCAACGTAGTGTTTGTTTTTCTCTTTTTGAAAGTATATTTTTTTATTTTGAAAAGTACTTTTCAACAATATATTTTTACTCTTAAGAGTTTGAAGATGTTTATACTTTTGAGTAGTACTTTTTGAAAGTAAAAATAAAATAAAATAATAAAAATACTTCTGAAAAGTGTATTTTTTATATTTTAAAAAGTACTTTTTAAAAATATATTTTTTCTTTAAAAAAAACTATTTGAGGAATAAATAGAAAAAACATGGAAAATCGATTATTAATTAATAAAGATGTATTTAATAAAACATATTTTGGATTAGACTAAATTAAACCGGATTAACATCAAAACCCAACTCACTGACTATCGATTTGTTCAAACCAACCCATCAAACATTAATCATTTTAAAACCTGGGAGAATTTCCGTGTACAAGTATTAAATAACTTATTCAAATATATGATGCGATGAAACGAAATATACTCAAGATTATCTCGTCATAAATTGTATGAAAATCACATCTCATTTTAAAATTCAACAACCCCAACTTAGAGTTAGAGCTTAACATTCAATGGATATAAGAATTTCTTCCTGCACATGAGCATTAATTTCATTTTTTTAATGAGACGGCTGTTCATTCCATCTTGACCAGAAATTGTCAATAAGCCATGTAGAAAACCACCAAAATGAGGGGCAAGTTAGTGATTTCGATCAAAACAATTTTCCCCCTATGAAAATACTCACTATATTATGTAAGATATAATTTAGTTGGGGAGAACCGAGTTCGTTTCATAGTTGTAAATTGTCATAGCGAGACTGTTTATATATAACGGAGCTGAAATAAGCGACATAGGTCGTCTTTACATGCAATCCAAGTCTTCGTAGAAAATACATCAAACAAACAAACAACAAAACAAGTCTTAGAAGAGTGTTTCATCCTTTGATTCCTATTCTCTAATCATATCATATTATACGTCAAACAAAAGACCAGTTCATAAACATAAAGCAAATACAATGAGCATTCTCATCTTCATTCAGCACCTTCCAAGCCACTACTCTTTCATATGAGATGGGTCTCCCCATGCTTGAGAGACAAATACCACCTTGAAGGCATGCAAAACCCTGTCAAAATATAACGAAAGAGAATTCAATACAAAGCCCAATAAAGCTTTTAAACAAGTCTGCACAGTATGAAAAGACTATCTATCTCATAGGCCTTTGACAGGAGACTGCAGCAGAGTTATACAACAAACGTGCATGACACACATCTAAAAAAAATGCAATTAATAACAAGCCTGGTGACAGTGAAATCTATGCATGTTTTAATTCGTAGACCTGCTGAATAATCTGGGGAAACTCTGAGCACAGAATCTTTCGGCCATGATCATCAAATATTTTCTCCAACGTTATATCTTGCAAAGCAACTAAGGTGGTCTCCAGCATGTCAAGACCTGCCTGGTTGGCAAAAGTGAACACTGGCAATGCCTGCGATAACCAAGTTCGATGAAAGTGCTTTATAACTAGTATAAGGGTACAGTAATCAGAGATTCACAAGTATAGATAGTTAACTTGCAAATCGGATAAGACAGGTATAACTCCTTTCAAGGTACCAACTACCAAGTACAAAATGAATTTATACTTCAGGAAAAAGAACAAAAGGTCTACATAATTCACTTCAACTCAAAAAATAACTACAAGTAATAATAGTTGAATTGCAAATCTAACAAACATTATTCCTTTTAAGGTAGCAAGTACCAAATGGTCTATGTTATAGGCAAAAGACACCAAAAAAAAAACCAAAAAACTGTGCAATGCACTGCAACTCAGATATTTGAACATCCTGAGCCCTTTTTCAGATATACCAGGCGCCCAAAGTGCAACTAAATATTTTCATTATTTCACATCAGAGAAGCTTAGTTGAACAATGTACAAAAAGTACATGGCACTGAGAAATGAGGATAGATGTACTGTGAAATTGAAAGAGAGAAAAAAATTGAACATACCTTAAGAGTGCAGCACAATATTGCATCTGAGTGATGCCACAAGGACTTGAGCAAAGATTCGTTCCCCTCATTATTAGATTTAAGTAGCTCGACACCCAAGTAGCACCTACAAAATTAACACGATCAAACAGCCATATCTGACATACAAGGCACTCCCTGAAAAATCGATAGGAGCCAAAAACTAAATGCACTTTTGCATCTTCACATATTGTTGATTAATATGAAAGCATTTCTATTAATCTTTGTTGATCATATATATAAAAGGTCATAAATAATGATACTAGGATTAACAAGAGATTTGGAATAGCAGTTGACAGTTTTAATTACAACAAAATGTCAAAATATTTGGTGTCACGAGTTATTGACAGAACACTGTAGAAGATCCCTTTTCCAAGAGGAAAAGATATAGGTGGACAGTTGAAGGACAAGAGATGACCATCAGAAAAAGGAATATCACTAAATGAGGGTATATCAAATGAGGTAACATCAAACCAATTCCTCACCCCCAAAACGAAGAACAATGGTCTCAGTAACGTGAAGGCAAATGACATGACAAGTAACGAAGAACAATGGTCTCAGTAATGTGATGGCAAATGACATGACAAGTAAAAAAGAGCATACACACCTATAACTATTGCAGATCCAGCGAGCAAGTGTTTGTGCTTCAGGAGTACCCAGTGGTGTTCTAAGCCCAGCTTGTGAACTCAAATGAGAAGGTGAAAGTGCTAACGCTACCCTTTGAACAGATGATATAATGCTGCGAACATACTGTCGTGCCATAGATGCTACATGTTCTTGCATATGACTTTCAAATGCAAATTCAAATGCTATTGTCATCACAGATCTCATACATCCAGAATTTCCAGAATAATCATTTGATGCTCTGTTTCCAGTGGGGCCAACATCTAGGGCAGATGCCAGGTCAAGGGTCCGATTTGGGTTTGATGCTTCCTGAAAAAAAAAAATTATTACAATAACTACAAGAACCTTGGGGAAGGGTAAATACCAAATTCAAATAAAATATAGTCCCTCGAACATAACTAAGGCTAACCTTTCCAGAATCAAGAGGAATGATGCGAAATCCAGAAGGCAGAAGAGGGGCATCATCAGCAAAGGATGCATCAATTGGAGCAAATATAAGTTCAGCACAGGTTCCAACAGCATTTTCATCCATTCCACTGCAGAGCTATCAAAACAAATCAAATGAACTATAAGAAAGTAAACCACAAGCCTGGATATGATAGAAACCAAAAAGATGGTGATTGGCATGACAAAAAATTTTCTCATTCAATGACGACAGGAGTTCAAATAATACTGAACTAAATAGCAAGTTATTTGATCTATTAAAAAAAATTCAAAAGACTAGGTGATAATAATACATTTTCCTAGTAGATTTTTTTTTTTGGGGGTTGGGGGGACAGAGAGCACCAACATAATTTATTTGCTTTAAAATTTAGGAAATGCGAGCAACAATATACTGAGTTTTATTTTATGTTAGCACGTAACATGCAAGCAATACAAGGTAAAAACTTACTTGCAAAAGAAACACTTCTCTGGGCATTATTGTCTCTTCAGGAGAACTAGCAATTCCTTCTAATTTAATAACTTCCAGAAACTAGAATAGATGGGCAGGAAGTTAGAACC